ATTCAGCAACGTTCAAACTAATGAAGTATATACAGTGTTGTTTATTTTTTTATTAGATAGATTGATTGAGAAATATATGAATGAAGGTTGCAAATTTGGGTTTAATGTAGGTGTCACCGTCGATGCGTCCATAATTGAATTTCGTGGGCACAAGGTAAATCTAAGTGTGTTAAATGTATGGGAAGTTTGAATAATTGAATTTGATTTGTTGTAATAATATAAAGAGGTGGGAAAGTTTAATAAAGAAAGAAAAATGGCAAGTCTTTTTGGTGTTAGGTGCAATGAATAGAAAGGGGCTCACGAGGACCTTGCTCTTTCCATTCAACAAATTAATTCCAACATATTTTGAATTCAAACTAACTTTGTTTGAAGAGCATTCTAGTTGTAATTTATGTTTTGATATTTAACAAGTGTGTGCAGACGAAGAATGTAATTTAGCTCTCCTTTTCCCCCCTTCGTTTTGATATTTAACAAGTGTGTGCTTCAAAAGTTAGACTCTATTGGTTCACATCAATAACAAATTAGTCGACTTTAGTTTAATTGTTTTATGACTTACATATTGTTTGTGAGGAACTGAAATACATATAGGATTATTAGTTGAATGATTGAGAAATAGATGACAATAATAATGTTATGTACAACCGTGATACTCATAATTAATCAAAAGAAGATTCTGCAATCAGTGAAGAATTAATCACCCGCCTAAATGAAAGGGATTATACATCAAGCTGTTTGCATATTATATTCTTACAGAGGATTAACCTCAAGGCTAATTAATAACATCGTCACATTAACATCCATCACTTAAGTATTATAATAGTCACTGAGCGTTGGCTAGACGATATATATATATATGACGGACTTTAAGCAGGATTGTAAGATACTAATATATTTATTATTTGAAATAACTCCTAAAGTACATTATATATATAAATAATCGATTAAATATATTTTTTTGTTTCAATATAAATATATTTATAACTAATATATTAGCTTATCGTGGTTATTCTTTTAATTTATAATTATTGTATAAAATCAAAGCATATTTTCATACATTTTATATAAGTTAAAAAAAAATATAAAAAGAAATTACATGGCCAGCTAGGGGTAGGCGTTGGAGCTGGACCACCTTGGTAGCTTAATCATGACTAACTTTTAGACCGACTAACTATCTAAATGGCGCTTAATTTTGCACACGTCTAGAAAGACACACTGTTTGGACGAATATTTGAACGTGGACCCGCTCCAAAACAGAACAACTGGGTTTGCAATTTTTATCAATTAATTAACGTCTAAACATAACAACTGATTTTGCAAAATTTATTCATTAGCGTCTAACTTTTGACTTGATTGATGATTACGATCTACTTACTACGATTTGGGCTCTAATTATATATCAACCTGCTTTTTGGGCTAACAATCACATACACTCACTCGTGTGATAAATCACAACTAAAATTACATACCCCTTAGTTGGACTACTTGTTATAGAGGGTTGGGCTTTCTCAAGGGGAAGGACAAATAACCAAACAAGATAACTCGATAGAGAGTTGTATTTTAATCTATATAATAATCTGTGAGCATATATTATTTATTATATATATTATATTATTATACTTCTATAATAAATAAACAAAAAGTTACAGATAGAGAGACTCCTTTTGCAGCTTCCAATGCAATGCTATGCTCATCCTCATTCATTCTCCCTCTAATTTCCATTCCATTCTCCATCTAATTTTACACTCTGCAACTAAATATCATTTTTTATTACTTCTCAAAACAACCCTCTCTTTCTCGCTCTCTCTCTCTCTTCCCCCCGCAAACAAACTAGTGAAAAGCTGCTTACCTTTTTAGCTTAGGTCCTTCTCACCACTCTCTGCAACCTCTCTTTGCACATAACCAAGAAAAAAAAAAAGCATCTCGAAATGCTACCCCGGTCCAACGGCGTCGTTTGGGCCGACGGAGAACCTGAAGAACCTCTTTCATGGCCGCCCCGGGCCCACTCCCAGCCCGAGCCCGACGATATCAACGCCTCTCTCTCCTCCTTCAAGTCCATGCTCGAGTCCGACTGCTTCACGCCCAACCCACTCTACCACCACCCTGACTACACCAACCTCCTCTTCAACCCCCTCGACTCCTCCTCTCTCGACCCCTCCCACCATATTCCCACCTTCCTGCCTCATAAATCCATGCTGCCCTCCTTCTTCGCTAACAATTTCGACAATGGCTTCGATTTGAGCTGCGACCTGCCTTTCTTCCCCGCCCCAGACACGGCCCCCTCTCCGATTCTGATGGGTTTCAATGGCCTCAACCCCCAATTCCAGCACGGCTCCGACTTCCCGGCCACTTCCCGGCTACTCCCTTACTCCGACGACGGCACCGCCGTTGGAGCAGCTTCTGACGCCTACGGTCTCGAGGGTTTCGACGGGTTTTCTAACAGGTTGAAACTACTGAGGCCGCTTGAGGTTTTGCCGCCCGGCGGAGCACAGCCTACTCTGTTTCAGAAGAGAGCCGCCCTGCGGCACAATCTGGGGACTATCAGCTCGAAAAGCGAGGAGGGTTTGACGAGCTTGGATGACACGGGCGGGATAGAGTTTGGGGAAAGGAAGAGGAAGAGAAGTTATGAGGATGAAGTGGAGGATTATATGGGAGCTGATCTCTCAGCTATGAATTATGATTCGGACGAGCCAACTGAGAAATTAGGGGATGCGAATTCCAACGCCAACAGCAGCGTCATCATTGGGGATCACAAGGGGAAGAAGAAAGGGTTGCCGGCCAAGAATTTAATGGCGGAGAGGCGTAGGAGGAAGAAGCTTAATGACAGGCTTTATATGCTTAGATCTGTAGTGCCCAAAATCAGCAAGGTATGAGGCTCAAGTTTAAGCTGTCTATCTTGATAATGTTATATGTTTTACAAGTTGCTAACTGAAGTTTCATGGTAGATGATATATTATTTGGATTTTCCTTTTTATCTGAGTTGCTTCTGTTAAATTCTTGGAGAGTAGTTGTTCTAATATATGAAATCTGAAATTGGCCATACTTTGCATGTGAAAATCTGCTGATTCTTGTGACCTTTATCTTTTAGTTGTAATTAATTTTCTTTTCCTTGTGTTCTCTTTTCAGATGGATAGAGCCTCAATACTAGGGGATGCCATTGATTATTTGAAAGAGCTTCTGCAACGCATAAATGATCTTCATAATGAGCTTGAAGCCACCCCAGCGGGATCTGTAATGCATCCAACGTCAAGCTTGCATTCATTCACACCAACTCCACCTACTCTTCCATTTCGTGTTAAGGAAGAACTCTGTGCAAGCTCGACCCCCAGCCCCAAAAACCAGCCTGCAAGGGTACATTTCATAGCTTTCTTGGATGATTAGTTTCTCATCTGTTGGTTCAACTCTGATGAGAAGTTAATTTTCCTAAGCTTCCATTTGACTTTGATGTTCACTGTGTTTAGCGCTCTATATTTTGAAGGGCTAAAATGTTTTGGTGCTGGCATCAATAATAGAATATGGCCATTATTGGCCTGCCTGTGGTGCTAGCACATTGTTGATGAGCCTGAACTGGACGAATATGCAAACGTTTCTTGATTGCAGCTTGTTATTTTAGTAGTTCCTATGTTTGGATTAGTTTTGCAACAAGATAAGTTTCTTGAAATATTGTTAATGGCCTTTTAAAACTCTAATGTTACAAGTATCTGGTCAATGTTCCCTAAAAAGGCTGTCTGGGGTTGTAAAACATGCAATGCCTCACAATGGTTCCTTACAAATCTAAGAAAGTTGAGTAATTTGAAATTTGCTAATGTCTTTTTGGATTCTTGAAGTTACTGCTAAGTGCATGATTATGTTAAATTTTTTTGTCTCTGGAAGATTGAACTTTCCTTTTCTTGTCTGGGGTGGGTTGTAGGTGGAGGTAAGGTTGAGAGAAGGGAGGGCCGTGAATATACACATGTTCTGTGCGCGTAGACCAGGACTCTTGCTTTCCACAATGAGGGCTTTGGACAACCTTGGACTCGACGTTCAGCAAGCTGTCATCAGCTGTTTCAATGGCTTTGCTTTGGATGTGTTCCGTGCTGAGGTAAAATTTCAAATTACACAATAGAGGACATCAGGTTTATATTCATTTTATTGCAACTATGGAAATATATACCTTGATTAACAATCCATAATAGTTATATTTTTTTCAAGTTTTTGTTTCACTAATTTGTGCTATATGCACCTGCGTGAGTATCCACTGCATTAAACAACGAATGAGGCTTTTGTTATTCAGTCATTTATCTCATAACCGGCCTCTGCTTATCGTTATTTATAGTCCTCATCAGTCGTCATGGTGTATTACTTGGTTGACAAGAATTTGAACCCTTGAAATATAAAATCAAACAATGAAAATCAAGGTACTAGCGGGTGAATTCTCAAATCAGAAGAAAACAAATATTAGATGCATGCGTCTGTAGAGAATTAGTTGTGAGCTGATTGTGACTAATGAATTCATCATGACCCCTTCCTGCCTGAAAATTCCCTTTTCTGAACAGAATAATAAATTCAGCAAGCATAAAGCTAATAAATTGTCCTGAATTATTATTATGCATCAGAACAAGAAATTATAGACTGGCATTAAAAGAGTAGCATTTCTAATAACGATATACTTTTTTATCTTCTTTTACTGGAAAAAAAAAAAAAAGCAATGCAGAGAAGGTGAGGATGTGGTGCCGGAGCAAATCAAAACAATTCTGCTGGAATCTGCCGGATTTCATGGCGTCCTTTAGGCTCAATCTATTAATCCATGTATCTATCTATGTTCACTTTGGTATTTAGCAGTCCCATCCTTGAAGAGTAATAATGTGTATTGTAATTTGCAACACAGGATTAGGAACACATCCCATCATCCTAACTAATTTGTAATGCCCTATCTGTTGTACTGTAGTATGTAGTTGTGGTGTTAGCGACCCTTGATATGATATCCACTGAGGATTATATTTTTTCTTTTATTTTTTTTTTGAATTAATTAATTAATTAATACTACTAATTACATGGTATTAATTGGTAACCATTCCATTCCATTCCATTCCATGCAGCCCCAGGCTTATCTATATCTATATATATAAAATAAGAATTAACATTTACCATAAATAATAGTAAGAAAAATCAAACCACATTTATTATATACTATTTTCAGCAATTATTTATTTTATATTTATATTTATATATATATATATATACTGAACGCTAAAAATATTCTTTAAATTGCATACCCAATCAATTAATCTTAATTTTTCTTTAAATTACTATGTTTATTTTTTATTAATATGCATAAAATATAATAAATAATTCATCTTTAGATATATAATTTATAATCTTAATATATTATCATTTGGTGTAGACATATGAATCATAAAAACTTTTTATTTCATAAAATTAAATATTATATTTAAATAAAATAAGAAAATTACTTTGGATCAATCGGCTGATTGAATTAGGGTACTGCCCACGTTGATTGAATTACTTTAGGTGATATTTAAAATAGTAAAAAACCTTTGAAACAACTTGGTTGGTGGTCCCAGGTAACTAAGTTATGTATCAGTTTGACCAGACCAAATCGATTACTGAACCTAAATATAAATTTTAATATTGAAAATACTTTATTATGTGAATGTGATTTAGTCCAAACTTCAAATAATCATATTAACAATACTTTTATGACAACATGATTAATGATTTATGAATATTTATATATCATTTTATTATTATTTATGTGAACGAAATGATTATTTTATTATATTTTTTTATTAATGTACGGTAAATATAAGATTTTCAGTACCGGATCGTCATCGAAACGACCAAGTTATTTTATTAAATCATTTGTGGTTGTATATATATATAGTACTTTTGTAATTAATTTAAATAAAAAGTGTTACTTAAATATCTAAACAATATATAAATTCAAATGTTTAAACTATATGATAAACAATTTATAAATCTCTATTTTATTTAAATATGTAATTTTATTTAAAATAATTTTTAATGTAACAAAATTTGTTTAGAAAATCGTATCGATCCTACCAGTCAAACAGACTGGTGTTGAAGGATTCAATAGCAAATATTTTATTCAAGCGCACTAGACTGATTATAAATCGGTTCTCGGTCCATCCGGTTAGACTGTGTCCAACCTGGTTTAATTTAAAAATAATGGGTAAATCATGATTAATGTTATTTATTTCTTTAATTTATAATACAATCAAAATATTGTTTTCCAGTGCATCGCACGGGCTACGCACTAGTTAAGTTAAAGCAACAACCTTTTAGTACCCCGTTTAAATTACATCACCATTATTATCACAAGAACAATTGTTACTTTTAATACAATCGAGATCCGCACATACAATATGTAGACATTTCTACTTATAAATAAATTTAACCTATTAGATAATTGATACTGCCATAAGTAGCACTTCATGGAAGACCGGTCATTGGTCGGGCTTAGTCGCAGTTAGGCATGGTCGCCCGTGGGGAGAAGGAGCTCGGCGTGAGTATCCTTCTCGGTACCTTTGAGGTGAATGGGAGCTAGGCGGGGACTAGTTGGGCATAAGCACTTCGACGGAATACCAGAGATTGGTGAGTTCGGCGGAGGTGGTCACCCAGGCTGCTCAAGCTTGGCACTCAGGCAGCTAGGCACCTCGGCATCTAGGCGCCTCGACCAAATGGCTCTGCCGAGGGGCCAGGGCCTGGAGGTAGCTTTGTAATCAAGTCATGAGGAGATTTACAACTTCAAGGACTCTGAAGAATCGAAATCTTTTGACCTGATTGAGAGATAAACATCGAAAAGACTTCTGCTCCAGTTAGACAGTTAGAACTCTTCTATACATAACTTCATCTATAAAATGGACACAGGTTCATTATTTTTACACAACACATACATATACGCATCGTCTCACTACTTTGCCATTTTTTCTCCGACATCCTAATGACTTGAACGTCAGTGCATCCACGCCAGGACCACCCCCGACGTGTTTTGCAGGTATCGGCTGTCGAGGAGGCGCAACCCTGTTCGAGAAGAGCAGTCAAGCGTTTCGAGATTTTGTGACTTAACAATAATAATTGTTGCCCACCCCTAAATATTAAAGCCTTTACACCAAAATTAATACTACATCACTACTCAAACGTAAAATGCTCATGAATGTGTATTTGTTAAGTATCATGATCTAATTTATAACTTATTAGTTAGTTTTTCGTGTTCAAATAAAATATAAATCAGAGTTTTTTGTAAAATTTTGGACTTATCTTATACACTAGTTTGTTAGAGTTTTTTTGTAAAATTTTGGACTTATCTCATAAACTAGTTTGTTTATGTAGCTTTTTAAGAAAAACTGGTCGAAAATGTTATTTCAGCTAATTTTAGCATATTTCTTTATACCAACTAGTTTCTATGCTATAAGCACGAAATGAAACTGAAAATGTTATTTCAGCTAATTTTAGCATTTTTCTTTATACCAACTAGTTTCCATGCTATAAGCACGAAACGAAATTATTAACGTAGTTACAGGGTTGCTTTTCAGCTGAATATACCAGTTAATACACATAGTTCATTTCATTGATATTTTAAGATTTTTTAAAATTTTCAAATTTTGGAGAAATTCTATGAAATCTTAAGTGAGATTTTGTATAATTTTTTTTAGAAATCCCACCAAATTTTAAAAAGTTTTAATCAAATAAGTTAAATACCTAATTATTTGGTAAGACTTTTTAAAATCCCAACTGAATACCCCAAGACTTTTAAAAGGCTTACAAAATATTAACAAATTTAAATTGAATACACTATGATTTTTAAAGTTTTAAAAAATCCTTATAAATCTCAATTCAATACACCCCTAAAAATGCAGATTTAAGAACGTAATTTGAATTTTCTAGAAAAATGGTGATGGGCGGTCGATGTCGCCCCTATATATAATTTTCAAATGTGCTGAGCCTAAGTGACATGCTTGTGTGCTTCATAAACTTATTTAGCATAAATTTGTTCTTCGTATTGACACATGTTCAAATTTGGTATTGACTATTAGGCTTGAGAATTACCATAAACTATTTTATCTTTCCTTTTTTCTTAAGTTAACATATACAACTCTTACCTTTATTATTTAATTCATATATTAGTTATTATAAATATTTATTCTTTTTATTTTTAAGACGGTAAAACTTTTTTATTTGTAATTTAATTTTTATATATGATATACCAAAATAATCATATTTTAAAAATTTTCGATTTGACATCCATATTGCGTTTATAAAATAAAAAGTAATTTCATCTATATTTATAAATAAATTAATTTTATTATCAACTCAGTTTCAAATACACCAAATAACAATATAAATTACTTTGTAAAAATAATAAAAATCTAATTCATTACTACACCATAAAATAATCATTTTATTGTTTATTCCATAAATTTTGAATAAAATAAAAATTAAGTATTACATAAAATAAATATAAGAAATATTATAAAATATTATTTCTCAATTTAAATAGATCATATAAAAAAACTGAATGCTATTATGTTATTAAAATAGTAAATATAAAAGAATATCAATTAAGTATAATAAAATAATTTTGTAATTCATAAAGTTAGAAAATAATACATTTCAACATAAATTTTAAACTATTAATTATATGAATTTAAAATATTGAAAAATTAATAGACGTGAAACACTGAGTCTATAAATATAAAATATAATCACAATACAATACAACTTGTTTTGTTTAAAAAAAAACCCAAACATATGTAGTTGTAAATAATATCAGTTTTATACATATATAATTTTTAATATATATTAAAAAATATCTTTTTTGATAAATTTACTGTAAAAGTACGGGCACCATTTAAATTAATTGCCACTTTGTTAGTTATTTATTATTGTTGCATATTCATCATACATAATTTCACAATAAAAATATAATCTATTTTTATTTTTACTGTACAAATATTAATATATTTAAGTATCCGTGTAGTGCACGGGTGTTGTACTAGTTAGTAGTATTAATTAACAAAGAATACAATCTATACTTATATAAAAAACCATCTTATTTACTAGAAATAGTAGGTAAAAAAGTCAAAGGTAATTAATGCTTGCTGGAAATAGAATGACATTAATTACAGATTTGTTTTGGTATTTATAAGCTTGACATTAAAGATTTATTATGGGATAAAAATCAGAACCGATTTTTTTACCTTTGTTGGAAAAGTCAAAGTTAAGTATAGATTTGTTTTATCCCATAACATCAGTTTAGTTAAAAAAAATCCCATAAAATCATGATTAAAATCATAATAAAAATCATGATAATTAATGAACTTTTGTAAATATAATAAAAGCATAGCAAAACAAAAGAATCATAATGGCGACATTGTGATTAATCTGTAAAATTGCAAACATGTCAAATGACGCCATTACTTTTAATCCGAAAAGAGTTTAAAAATGCAAATATAGATAGATTTTTTTAAGCGAATCTAAACGATCTTAAGATTCCCAAACATATGAAACGTGTATGCATAAAAATCTCATTACTATGAAGATAAACATGTTTCAATATGTACATATATCATAAATATGAGAAGAAAATTCTGTTTCTTTTTTTTTTTTTTTTTTTTTT